GGGGGGGGGAAGCTGGTACAGCCTCATCGAGCCCAGCTCACCCCAGGCTGACCCATCGTCCCTTTTCTGCCAGAGTCACTAGGATGGTGGATCAAAGGAATGCTACAGGTATGTTTTACTTCAACCTAGGCAAAGCCTTTTTTTGGGGGGGGGGGTGAGGCAATCAGGGATTAAGTGACTTGCCCAGGGTCACACAGCTAGTAAGTGTCAAGTGTCTTAAGGTCGCATTTGAACTCAGGGCCTCCTGACTCCAGGGCCGGTGCTCTATCCACTGCGCCACCTAGCTGCCCCCATGAGCAAAGCTTTTGACAAAAGTCATCCCAACCTTTTTAAGGAAGATAGAGAGAGGTAGGTAGTGGGTTGTGGTGGAGATTCAATGGCCAGTCTCCCAAGTCATCAATGGTGGTTCAATGTCAACCCGGAAGGAAGTCGTTAGTGAAGTGCTTGATATCTTTATCAACGACATGGAAAAAGGCACAGATGACGCAAAGCTCTGAGGATAGGTGACAGAGTTGGGATTCAGAAAGACCCAGCCAAGTTGACCAGTGAGAATCTAGTAACAGGTGTCAATTTAAGTCTTATATGGGTTCAAAAAATCAACGTCACAGGTATAAACAAGGCTGGAGCAGTACTATGGCTAGCAAGCAGTTTGTCTTCAAAGGACACCGGGTTTTTAGTGCATCTCAAGTTCCACGTGATGAGGCAGGCAAAAAAGCTAACACAATCTTAGGCTAAAGAGAAGCCCAGTGTACAAGATGAGGGAGGTGGTCAACGTACTCTGATCAGCCCACATCCACAACAGGGTTTTCCATTGTAGATGCTGTCCAACTGACTGACCAGCAGTGATGCCTCCCAACCAGACATCACGGCCAAGAGACAGGTTTCTGCGCTGGCCCTATGACACCTGCCATGTGACCTTGGGCAAATCATCTACCTTTTGGATTTAACTTCTGAGCCTATTTCCTCATCTGAAAATGAGGGTAATACTTGTACTCCCTCACAGGGGTTGCTGGGAAGAAATCCCTTTGTAAACTACTCAAAGAATTCGTGATTTTTCTCCTGTGGGTCAAAATATAGAGCTCTCCTCTAAGCCTTAGTAGAGGG